AGCATGAATTGGTGTATATGTTGTACTTGTGGTTTCTGCAGGTTATTAGTGCATCCCTGAGCATGAATGCAGAATGAAGCGACGTTTGGATGACCAAGAATCACCAGTGTATGCGGCTCAGCAGCGGCGGATCCCTGGTAACACAGAGGCTTTTCCTCATCAGCACCGAGTGCTTGCCCCCGCCCCTCCTGTGTATGAAGCTGTGGCCGAGACCATGCAGTCAGCCACGGGCATTCAGTACTCCGTCACTCCCAGTTATCAGGTGAGCTGACACTGCAAGGCACTGCGCCCAGGCCAGTATGATGGTTTCATCCAGCTAGAAGTTTTTGTTTGTTTTTAAGAAATATGTTTTTATTAATTTCAGAGAGAGGAACGGAGAGGGAGAGAGATAGAAACATCAATGATCAGAGAGAATCCTTGATCAGCTGCCTCCTGCATGCCCCTTACTGGGGAATGAGCCCAAAATCTGGGCATGTGCCGTGACTGGGAATTTAACCGTGACCTCCTGGTTCATAGGTCAATGCTCAACCACTGATCCACACTGGCTGGCCAGTTAGAAGTTTTTATTAAGCATTCAGTGAGATATAGAATATTTATGAGATATGTGTAAGTTATAAAATTAATGAAAATAATGCACAGTTGTGTACTCACCACGTAAGTTCATAAAGAAGAAGGTTGTTTATGACCTTGGTGTTCACTGTTTATTCTTTCCTGAACCCTTTTCCTTTTCATCACTTCAGAGGTAGTCACTATCTGAACTTCGTTTGCATTTATCATTTCCTCGGTTTTATTTTTTTTTAAGTCATTTTGTTTATACATTTAGACACTAAAATTGTTTGGTTTGGGTATTTTTTAACCTTTATATAAATGAAAACATTAATATTTTCTTCTTTGGCGCTTGTTTTCACTCGGTGTGATTCCCTGGTTCCCAAGACATAGCCATATTTTTATGAGTAATTGAGTCATTTGTCACCCTGTTATGAATTATATGAATATATCCAGTTTATTCTATTAATGGACAGTTTGTTTCCAGATTTATGCTTTTTTATAAAGGTGCTACTGTGAATGTCCTAGGTGGCTCTCTAGTGCAGTAGTACTCAACAGTGGTGACCCTGTGACAAAGTAAACTTTTACCAGAATCTAAAAGAACACACTACTTTTATCAAGAGAGTCTTGCTTGAGTAAAAAAAGGCAGCTGAATTAATTAGTGTACTTATTAGTGAAGCAGTTGGTTTATATTTTGGTGCAAACTTTTTATCTTCTTGCAGACCACTCAGCAGGTGAGAGGGCACATGAGGAAGAGTTGCTCCAGTATATAGGAGAGGGATTGCTGAGTCCTAGGGTGTGCACATCTTCACTTTAGCAGGTGATGTCAGATTGGCTTTCAGGATTGTACCAATTTATATTTCCACCAACATTGTATATTCCTATTGTTTACATCCTGACCAACTTGATCTATTTTGCGAAAAAAGAAATTTAATTTTTTTATCTTTTTAAATTAGGAAAGTAAATATCATCATTACAAAAAAATATAAAATTACCTTTTCTAATTACCCCTCGACTTTATCTCACTGGTGTATTTCTTGGGTTTCCAGCATTTTGTATGCATATACAAACATATCTATATTTACTTGCCTACCAGTCTAGATACACTTCTTTTTTTACACAATTTGGATCATACAGTATATACTGTTCTGCTATTTGCTCTTTTCACTTATTATATAGTAGACAACTTTCCACTTGAATATATGTAGAGATCCACGTAATTTTTTTAAAGAATTACTGCATAGTTAATATTCCATCCCAGGACATCTGAATCATAACTTATTTAACTGGTCTGGAGAGGGCTTCTTCAACCTAACTTGTTAGTGACTTTTAAAAGATATGACTAGTGCCCTAGCTGGTTTGGCTCAGTGGATAGAATGTCGGCCTGTGGACTGAAGGGTCCTGGGTTGGATTCTGGTCATGGGCACAATGCCCAGGTTGTGGGCTCAATCCCTAGTGGGGGGCATGCGGGAAACAGCTGATCAATGATTCTCTCTCATCATTGATGTTTCTATCTCTCTCCCCCTCTCCCTTCCTCTCTGAAATAAAAAATATATTTTAAAAAATAAAAGCTATGACTGGTGCTGGGAATATAAATTGGTATAATTTTCCTTGAGAACAGTTTGACAATTGTGTCAGATTCTGGAGTTACAAGAAAGCAATCAAAGAAGAAAGAAACCAGGTGAAGTAGGATATGGTGATTCCTTAGGTGTGCCACTCTTTCTCAGGAGTCCCCCTTGAAGCAGTATAATTCCTATATACTTCATGTACAGATCAAATGACTGCTACAGATCAAATCTTTAAGTTAGGACTTGGAAGAAAAAAAGGTTGCTTGTTTTCCTTGGCTGATTATTTTCATCTGAACAGGTTCATGATTGTTTCCTACACTTGAGATAACGTTATATCTGTTTGTATACTAGAAATTATAATGTGTTCATATAAAACCAGCCATCTCAAAGAATTATAAACTAAACCTATCCATTTTATTCATATTGGAATTAGAAGCTCAAAATAATAACACGTGAGATATATTAGAGCTTTTAGAATTGTCTTAAATATTTTTTTTTTACTCCTAATGTTATATTGTATTATTTCTATGGATTTGTATTATTTTTACCCAGGTTAATCTTTATAAATTTGTGGGGAATTTGGAAAAAACCCACAAATATCTTCTCATTAGTTGTAGGACACAACTTAACATTGTTTAGAGAAAGTTTCATGTACAGAGGACTGCTACAGATCAAATCTTTAAGTTTAGGACTTGGAAGAAAAAAAAGTTGCTTGTTTTTCTTACTTTTCTTATTTTGGAGATGTGGCAAATTAGGTATATTTGTCTTTAGTTGTCGTCTGTAGTGAGTAACAGTTCTGAAATAGGAAAACTTTTAAAAGTTTTGTAAATGTTACATAGCATTACTTGTAATAGAAATGGGAGGAAAGTGGCTTATGCTTTTATGTTCCCCTAAACTTATAAGAGAATGAGAGAAAGAGGATGAATGTGCATGAGAAAATAGAAAAGAAAGATGTCTGAGGTCAAACCAACAATTTAGAAAAAAATTTTGTTTATTTTAGAAGCAAATAAGGATAAGAAAAATGAAAGTAAAATTCTTTTCTAACCCCACACAACAAGATAAAATGCTAACATTTTGATGTATATTTGTTGTCTAGGGTTTAAAATCTTTTTATTGTATTTTATATACTGCTTTGTAATGTGCTTTATAAAATTATTTAAAAGTTTAAATTCATATTGGAAATGGGAACACAAATACATTCAACTTACGGATTGTGAACATTTTTTTCTTTTTAATTAAATTTATTGAGGTAACATTGGCTAATTACATGATATAGGATTCAGCTATACAATTCTATGATACATCATCTGTATATTGCATTGTGTGCCCATCATCCCAAGTCAAATCTTTTGTCACCATATATTTGATTTCTTTTATCCTCTATAAGATTGTGAACATTTTTTTAATGTTATAAAATACTAGAGGCATGGTGCATGAAATTCGTGCACGGGTAGGGTCCCTAGGCCTGGCCTGCGATCAGGGCCAATCTTCCCTGGCTGCCTGCAGCCAGCCCCGCCTCCTGCCGCCAACACTGGTCGCCCTCTGTGTGTGGGATGACCGGCAGGCAATCGGGCCCCACTCACTCACATCCACCTTGGCCTGGCGCTGCCTGCGTCCACTGCCACCCACCCCCAGTTACCCATACCCTATCGGGCAATCAGAGCCTGCCAGCCAGGGGAAGGGGCCAAGAGGTTGGCCAGCAGGCCCTGATTGGGCAATCAGGGCCTGCGGGCTGGGGGCAGCTCCTGTGTAAGTAGAAATTTAGTGTTTAGAAACTTTAATAGCAACTAGACATTGTAATTTTTTTATTTTTTTTTAAATTTTTTTAAAAAAGATATTTATTGATTTTTTACAGAGAAGAAGGGAGAAAGATAGAGAGTTGGAAACATCGATGAGAGAGAAACATCGACCAGCTGCCTCCTGCACACCTCCTACTGGGGATGTGCCCACAACCCAGGTACATGCCCTTGACCGGAATCGCACCTGGGACCTTTCAGTCCGCAGGTCAATGCTCTATCCACTGAGCCAAACCGGTTTCAGCGACATTGTAATTTTATATCTGTAAAATCCAATAGTGAAAATTGTGGGCTGATGTATTTTTTATTTCACTTTTCTGGTAATCCATTTTTACTTTATTTTTTATTATGTATTTATTATTTACTTACTTATTTTTAATCCTCACCTGAGGAGTGAGGATATTTTTCCCTTGATTTTTAGAGAGAGAGTGGAAGAGGTTAGCGGGGAGAAAATCCATGTAACAGAGACACATTGATTGGTTGCCTCCCACACATGCCCTGAGTAGGGGCAGGGATTGGACCTGCAACCCAGGTACGTACGTGCCCCTGACCAGGAATCAAACCCGCAACCCTCCGGAGCACAGGTCGATGCTCTAACCAGCAGGCAATGCCGGCCAGGGCCATTTTTACTGTATTTTATAAAAGTAGCAGCCCGTGATGGATTGTAATTTAAGAAAAAAGGAAAACTGGTGCTTAATCACAGATAGTTTGAGAAGTACTGAGCTATGTAATACATAACAATGCATAGGATTTTATAATGAGTGTGCTATAATTTATTTCACCAATTTCATCTTGTGGAAAATTTGAGTTTCTAGTTATCTTTGTGTATGTATGTTCTTTAAACACATTTGGGCAAGATACACAAGCCTTGACCTTTCTTGTATCTCTTTTGTCCACCCCAGGTTTCAGCTGTGCCACAGGGCTCTGGTGGCAGTCATGGACCCACCATAGCAGCAGTTCATAGCAGCCATCATCACCCAACAGCTGTGCAGCCCCACGGAGGCCAGGTGGTCCAGAGTCATGCTCATCCAGGCCCACCAGTTGCACCAGTGCAGGGACAGCAGCAGTTTCAGAGGCTCAAGGTGGTATTCAGCTCTTTTCCTTCCATCAAAAAGTTTCTCTCATAGCAGACAACAAACATTTCTGGAATTTATGAATGCATGGCACTCAGACAGATCAGGATTGAGGGGCCATTTTCATATGAAATCAACAAAGTCCATTTTTTGGAAGTCTCATTTTGAACTCTTAGTTCTTTTTAAAAAAAAAAATTTTTTATTGCTTTTTAGAGAGAAAGGGAGGGGGAGAGAGAGAAATATCCATGTGAGAGGGAAACATCGGTTGGCTACCTCCTGCATGACCCCTACCAGAGATCGAACCCACAGCCTGGGCATGGGCCCTGACCCAGAATCAACCAGCAGTCTTTCAGTGTGTGGGATGAGGTCCAGCCAACTGAGACACCCCATTGGCCAGGGTATGTGCCATAGGTTTTCAGTGCTTTGAAATTCATGAGGCATCTGTGGAGAAGTGAAGTTTGTGTTCTCAGCTAATTTTCACTCTCTGCTTGAGTATTATTTTTTAGAATGTGTGTGTGATTGTTGCCGCAAATGTTACAGATTTCAGTTTTTTTCTTTTTACATTAATATAAAGCTTAAACTTGAGTGCAGGAAATATAAAATTAAAGAACTATAAAGAGAAAAGAAAGATGTTGGATGTTTATTTGGTCCAATCAGCCTAATTATATTAAGTAGCTTGCAGGTAGGAATGTATAATATACCCTTGAAGGATTCATTATGTTTAGCAAATATCTCAGCCTTCTTTTCCTTGATACTTAGTCAAGTTCACCTTGATCCTGTTCTCCTTGGTTTGGGTTCTCAGGAACTTCCTAAATAGTAAAAGCCTAATATGCTAAGTGTCCAGTCATCTGTTCAACCAATCAAAGCGTAATATGCTAATGATATGTTAAGGCTGTTCAACCACTCACTGTGACATGCACTGACCACCAGGGGGCAGATAGTTGACTGGTCGACCAGCTGCTATGATGTGCACTGACCATAGGAGGCAGATGCTCTGACTGGTAGGTTAGCTTCTGCTGGGGACTGAGGTGGGCTGGACACACCCTGGAGCCCTCCCGCCTACCCGGCTGGCCAACCCTCTGTGTCCCTCCCTGGCCCAGATCATGCACTGGTGGGGTCCCTGGGCCAGGCCTGTACCCTTTTGCAATCTGGAACACCTCGGGGGATGTCGGAGAGCTAGTTTTGGCCCAATCCCACTCAATGCAGGAGCTGCCCCCTGGTGGTCAGTGTGCTCCCATGGGGGGTGCTGTTCAGCCAGAAGCCGGGCCCACGGCTGGCGAGCACATCGGTGGTGGCAGGAGCCTCTCCCGCCTCCACAGCAGTGCTAAGGATGTCCAACTGATGGCTTAGGCCCGTGGGGAGCAGGTCTAAGCCGTCAGACATCCCCAGAGGGCTTTTTGACAGCAAGAGGGTGTAGGCTGGGCTGAGGAAACCCCCCTCTCCCCCCCCAAGTGCACAAATTTCATGCACCGGGCCTCTAGTGTTTAATATTGGCCTAAGGAAAGTAAATGCTACATAAATATAAAGCACACTAATGCTGAGCTGTATAGAAGGTTTTTATAAAATTTTCATTTTCTATATTACCTTAAATAATGAAGAGTTGACTGTATATAAGCATAGTCTTTAAAAAGAGTACAAATTATTTATGGGCCTGAAACTTCACTCTGGGCTCTGTCTTTGGGGGAAATACGTATTAGCTATATTGTTGTTTTCCTTATAACATTTTAACTCTCTGCTTATAGAGTGATGTTTGTGTACCAAAATGTATTATTACTATACTTAGCACTTCACCAAGCTCTAAAAATATTTTGGTAAAAGTTGGTTTGATGTGACTTAATTCCAGCAGTTAATACCTAATGTTGCAAAAGAGCTTATAAACTTGCTATTAGGCTAACGAAAATGTATTTATCTTTATAGCTTTTGTCAGCCAGCTCTATCAAAGCACAACATCTATTTTACCTTCCTCACTGGGGTATAAGTAGACTGTGCTTTATCTGTTTTACAGAAACTATAAAGGGCTTTGGAGTCATGGGTCGAGTTAGGACTTTTGCTCTTTTTTTTTTAGTCACAAGCTTTTTTATTTACCTACCTTTTTATTTTATTTTATTTTTTTTATTGCTTAAAGTATTACAAAGGGTATTACATATCTGTCCATTTTTTTCCCCCCGCCCTAGACAGTCCCCTAGCCTCCCCTATCCCCCAGTGTCTTATGTCTATTGGTTATGCTTATATGCATGCATACAAGTCCTTTGGTTGATCTCTTACCTACTGGGCACATGCTCTGAATAGGAATCAAACTGGTGACTGGTGCATGGGACGATGCTCAACCAACTGAACGACACTGGCCAGGGCAATAATTCTTTCCTTGAAGTATATTTTATCTGCTATCCTCCATTCTATTTTGAACCTCTGTCAATCAAATTTTCAATAACATCTCTTCACCAAAACTGTTCCTGTCAAGATCACTAATGATCTCCATATTGTTAAATCCAATAGCAATTCTCAGGAGTTCCATTTTTATTTTTTTTAAGAAACTCCATACTGTTCTCCACAGTGGCTGCACCAGTCTGCATTCCCACCAGTAGTGCACAAGGGTTCCTTTTTCTCCACATCCTCTCCAGCACTTGTCGTTTGTTGATTTGTTGATAATAGCCATTCTGACAGGTGTGAGATGGTACCTCATTGTTGTTTTGATTTGCATCTCTCGGATGATTAGTGATTTTGAGCATGTTTTCATGTGTCTCTTGGCTTTCTGAATGTCCCTCTTTTGAAAGGTGTCTATTTAGATCCTTTGCCCCTTCATGTAATTTCATTCAGTGTTCTCACATTGCCATTTTTAGATTAGTTTTAAAAAGCTTTATGATCATTTGAATCCACTTCAGTAAACAGTTTATATTCTGTAATAAGGAAGTGTCCAGTAAGAATGCATAGGCTATTTCTTTTTATTAATTATTTTAAACATTTTTAAAGTAGTTTGTTTTTCTTTTTTTATTATTTTATTATTTTTTTTTAATCCTCACCTGAGGATATTTTTCTATTGATTTTTTAGAGAGAGTGGAAGAGAGAGGGAAAGACAGAGAGAAATATCGATGTGAGAGAAACACAGATTGGTTGCCTCCTGCACGAGCCCCAGACAGGAGGAACCTGCAACCGAGGTCTGTGCCCTTGACCGGAGGAATCGAACCTGAGACCCTTCGGTTCACAGGCCGTCGTTCTATCTGCTGAGCCGAACCCGCTAGGGCAGTGTAGGCTTTTTCAAGCACCAACACTGTCTGTACTTTTTTGTCTTTGGCATATTGATGGAACATTTGAATAATTTGAGGCTGGCTTGGTGTACTTTAGTTACTTATTGATATTTGGCACATATTTAGTGAGCTCTCCATACAGTTTGTGTTTTCTCCCCTCCCAATGAACTTATGAACTTCAGAAGGTTAGGAACCTTAAAAATGCCTATTGAAGTGAATCAGGAAAATGCGTCAGCAGAGTCTTAAGAGTCTCCTGTCTAGTGCCCCCTTAAATGTGTAGCTTCTAAATGACTAGTTCCAAATGTGTGTGTTTTTTAAGTTGTGGTTTCTAGAACTGCATACTTGCTTTTGAACTATACTTTAGATAATGAGAGAATTTCCACACTCTTTATATGCAGTTATCTTATAATGTGGTGTCAAAGCTATTTTTTTTAAGCATAGTGTTATTTTATAACTAATAGCGGTTTAGTAGGACCTATACCTTTTCTTCCAAACATAAACACATCATGCATAATTTCTTTCCTTTGGGTTTCTGCACTTTTTCTCTCTATTTTAATTACATTATACCATAGTATGCTTGTTTATTTATTTTTTAACTTTAATTTTTTTGGTGTTTGTTTATTTTTGATAACTCCTCCTTTGTCGTATGATTGTGAACACTATTTTAAAATATCTTCCAAAGTCTTTGTTCCTTCTGCAAACTTAATGAGTTTTATGTTCCATCAATTTGTCATTAATGAAACATTTCAATATGAAAAGTTCTGAATATGAATTAGTTTATTGAGTTTCAATAGAAATTGTCATGCTATTTGTAAAGAAAAACCAGCCATCAAGTGAGTGCGTATCAACCAAGCATATAATCTGTGCTCTAGCAACACTGAAATACACTGATTAACTATGGCCATTTTGGAAGTTTGGGCAACTCTTGAGATGTCATTTAATGCTTTATTTGAACATAAATGTTCTATTTCACAATATTTATCACAAGTAGAGTTTATCAAATCAGTTTATTTTTGAAACTTTCCTAAACTTGATATTTTGTATAATTTAAAATAATCCCAGAGTAGATAGGAAGCACCTAGTAGGTAATTTCCTTGGATATCTCCTGAGTAACTAAAAAGTAAGTTGTTCTAAATCAGACTTATAACTTTCTAGCCTTCAAACTGTTTCTCTTTGCAAATGCTCAAATAATTTATAATTTAGTGACTCCTCCTTTTCCGTTATCTCCCATATTCAGTCAGTCTTCAATCCCTGTCATTTCTGAGTCCTAAAAAACTTTTGAATCTATTCAGTTCTCCCTGTTCCTTTGGTCAGGACTATAGTTTGAGCAACTACTGTTCACATGTGAGTTAGCCTTGGACCATAACTGGTTTTCCTGCCTCCTTTCAATCTATCCTGCTCTTGTACCAATTTGTCTCAGTACTGTAGCCAAATTGAATACATTAAAATGCAGATAACATTCTCAGTTGCTTTCTAACAAGTTTTAAAGGTCTTTTAGGATCAGGTCCTGCTTCCTCTTCTGTCTCCTCTTGTCACTCTTCTTGCCACCATTCCTCCTCTTCAACACAAACCCTCCAGGTAAATTAAATTGTTTGCAATTTGCTAAGTGAACTAGTGTCCTGTCGGGGATTTTGCCCATGTTGTTTCCTCTTTCTCATGAGTCTTCAGTTTTGCTAACTTGTATTCATCCTTTAAGACTCAGTTTACAAATTACTTCCTGGAGAAGCCTTTGTGCTCTTCTCATGTTCTCTCTGGGTGTTCAGTGATTGTCCCCTTATACCACTGTGTTAGGATTCCCAGCTAGATGTGAGAGAACTTCTATAGAGCAGGGACTGTGGCTTATTTGTCATTGATTCATTGGTACCCCACTTTGGGCCTGATAGAGCATGTTGTAGCTTTAGTAGATATTTGTGAGATGAATAAATGAACAAATAAGTGAATGAGATACTCACGTGTATGCTTCACTAATCATTTTTTCCAAAAGTATCCAAGGCAAGGCTACTTGATTTTTATTTGAAGCTTGTGTTTTATTATTGATATCCATACTAATTTTTAATACTTTAATGTTTTACTATATATTCCTATTTCATTTACTATGTTAATTTTATTTGGGCATAAATCATTTGTTTGTTTTTTATAATTCTTGGCTTATTTCCTTTTTATAACCTGCTTCAGGTGGAGGATGCACTGTCCTATCTTGACCAGGTGAAGCTGCAGTTTGGTAGTCAGCCTCAGGTCTACAATGATTTCCTTGACATCATGAAGGAATTTAAATCACAGAGGTAAAAGATATATGTAGTTGTACACAAGCTTTGTGCTTAGGATGTTGATTTTGGAGGGAGAATATAGCTTATTCTTGTCTTCTGAAAGATAATGGATGTTCCTTTTGGGGGGTTTAATTTTCAGGATGATGCTTTAATTTGATGTATTGATTTATTGATGAAAATTATAGTCCCTAGATCTTAACTAAAATTTTCTTAGGATTTCATCACAAAACAAGGGAGTAGACTGGTAATGATTAGGCTACTTGCTCTTTGACTTAAGATACACAAATATTCTGGCATGGTTCGTTGTTATAAGAGCGTAGCTAACTAATTGGGAAAATGTAGATACATGATGATTTATACTGGTGTATCACAGGTTGGATATTGCTTGGATATTGCAGCTTTAGATTTACTGTCTGAGTATCTGCTTGATAGGATTGTTATTAAC